GGCTGCGCGGCGCGCTCCCCCCGCCCCGCCGGGCCGCGTCCGCCCCAAACAATGAATGGGAGCGGCGAGCGCTGAGCGCGGCCCCCGGCGCCGAGGGCATCGCTCCCCGGCCCGCCACCCGGCAAGGATGCCGAGGGCAGGGCAGGCGCGCCGGTCCCTGGGGCTGCCGCGTGTCTTCTCCTTCTGTTTGTTCTTGCACAGCTCATCCGCTCAGATCCGATACAGCATCCCGGAGGAGCTTACACGGGGTGCCTTTGTGGGCAATATTGCCAAGGACCTGGGTACCGATGTGGCGAAACTGGCGGCAGCTAATCTGCAGGTACTGTCCGATTCGGATTCCCAGTACTTCTCTGTCAATGTGAACACTGGTGTTATAATGGTCAGCGAGCGGATAGACCGGGAGCAGCTCTGCGGGCAGAACCCACGCTGCTTCCTCCACTTGAAACTTGCCATCGAGAACCCGGTGGAGTTTTACCGTATTGAGGTGGAGATCCTGGATATCAATGACAACCCCCCGGAGTTCCCCAGTGAGGAGGTTGCCTTGCGCATCTACGAGYTGGCATCTCTGGGTGCCCGCTTCCCAATCCAGCCAGCCCAGGACCCCGACGTGGGCACCAACACCTTGCAGACCTATCACCTGAGTGCCAATGACAACTTCAACCTCAACGTGAAGGCACGCACTGATGGTGGGAAGTTCCCTGAGCTGGTGCTGGAGCGGGCTCTGGACCGGGAATTCAGAGCTTTCCACTACCTGGTCCTGACTGCTGAAGATGGGGGCTCTCCCCCACAGTCCAGCAAGATACGCATCACTATTCAGGTCCTGGATGCCAATGACAACCACCCGGTCTTTGACAGACCATCATACGGAGCACGCTTGGTGGAGAACTCGCCGCTGGGCACCCTCGTGGTGAAGTTAAATGCCACCGATGTGGATGAAGGACCCAACGGAGACATCCGCTACTCCCTCAGTAGCCACAATTCAGCTGCCTTACGCCAGATCTTTGCCATTGACGAGCAAACYGGGGAGATTCGTGTCCAGGGCAACCTGGACTTTGAGGAGGCCACTGTGTATGAGATCGAAGTGGAGGCCAAGGACATGGGGTCGCCCACGATGGAGGAGCACTGCAGCGTGGTGGTGGAAATCACTGAYGTCAATGACAACGCACCTGAGGTCATTCTTACCTCCTTCTCCAGCACCCTGAGCGAGGACGCGCTGCCAGGCACAGTGGTGGCTGTGATACAYGTCAGAGACAGGGACTCTGGCGAGCAGGGTAAGGTCCTGTGTCACGTGTCTCCAGATCTTCCCTTCCAGCTGCGTAAGGACTACGAGCACCAGTACTCGCTGCTCACCAGCACCCGTTTGGACCGGGAGCATGTTGCCTACTACAATGTCACCGTCTCGGCCTCGGACATGGGCAATCCCCCGCTCTCCCGCCACACCATCTTGCCAATCACCCTGATAGATGTCAATGACAACGCTCCCCAGTTTGARCAAGCATCCTATGAAGTGCTGGTGGCAGAAAACAATCCAGTGGGCAGTGTGCTGGTTACAGTCTCTGCTGCTGACCCTGACTCGGAGCAGAATTCCCGCCTGTCCTACTCCATCCTGAGAGCTGGTGGGACAGATCCAGGCCTGGATCCTACTCGCTACCTCTCGATACATCCCACGAATGGGCAGGTCACTGCCAAACTCCCTTTTGACTATGAGCAAACCACCTATCTCCAGTTCCACGTGGAGGTCTCTGATGGTGGCTCCCCGGCCCTGAGGAACMGGACACTGGTTCATGTTTTTATAGTGGACCAGAACGACAACGCCCCACGGGTGCATTTCCCCAGGGCTGGGGAGGACTCTGCTACTCAGTTTCGGATTTCCCCCTCCATCGTCCCTCCTGCTCTCATCACCAAGGTGGTGGCAATAGATGCGGACTCGGGGCGCAATGCCTGGCTATCCTACCACCTCGTGGAAGCCACAGACCTGGGGCTTTTCAGCGTGGCCCTGCGCTCCGGGGAGGTCCGGATCATGCGGGCTCTGCAGGAGACGGACGCCTCTGCGCACGAACTGCTGGTGGTGGTCCGGGATGCCGGGGAGCCCCCACTCTCCACAGCCGTCACACTGGTGGTGGTGGTGGAGGAGAAGGGTCCGGAGGCCCTGCAGGGCTCCGAGGCWCGGGCTGCTGACAGTGGGGGCTTACCCACTATCACGCTTTATCTGATTGTATCCCTAGTGCTCATCTCCACCGTCTCGCTGGTGGGACTGGCGGCGCTGGGCATACGGTGCCTCCGGCGGGGCTCTGCACCTGCCAACCAGGGCGGCTGCGTGGAGAGCGTGAACACGCTTCAGCCTCCTCCCAGCCACATTTTTGGGCACTTGCACTATGAGCCTAAGAAAGGGGACACGGTGATGGGCGTGCAGGTGACAGCAACGGCACCCCCCGCCCCGCGTTACCGCTCCTGCTTTTCGCCGGTCTCGGATATCAGCGAGTTCATGTTTGTGAAACCCTCCGCGGATCCCACCCTGTGCAGCGAGGTGAGCTCGGGGGTGTGGTCTCCAGCCTGAACGCAACCCCGGTGTTCGCGGGGCTCGGCACCGAGCCGGCCGGCTTTGGGGAGGGAATGTCCGCCGGTGCCCGGTGCCAGCAGCCGGGCGGGGCGGAGCGGGGTTCCCGCTGCCGGGAGTCCCCGGCGCCCTCCCGGCGCTGCGGGGGCGGAGTGGCGGCAGCGGGGGAAGGGGGGGGCTACGCCGTGCGTATTTTGGGGAAGGCGGTGAGATAGAGAAGGGGAGGAGGAGGGAGAGGAAAAGGAGGAGGAGGAGGAGGAGGGGGCTGTGGAGAGACGTAAAACTGTCACTCGGTCCATCCCCTCCGCTCGCCGACTTTGTGTGTCTTTGCGTATCGAGAAGCGGTTCAGCCGGCCGGGCTGCGCTCGCCCCCTCCCCCGCCTCCTCCATCCCTCCCTGTCCGGCTCCGGCTGCTCCGGCGGCGGCTTCCTCCCTGCACAACCCGCTCGGACCCCCCCGGGGCGCGGGGGTTCCGGCTGCCGGGGCCGGCTGCGGGGGCGGGGAGGCGGGGGAGGCTGCGCGGAGCCGCCGCCGCTCCGCTCCGCGCCGCTCCGCTCGCACACCCGGCACGGGATGCTCGCCGGACAGAGTTTGCCATGGCAGCTCCCGCTGCTGCTCGTAGCCTTCTCCTGCCTGCCGGCTCCCGGCTGCGCCCAGCTTCACTACTCCGTGCCCGAGGATCGCGAACCGGGTTTCTCTGTTGGCGACCTGGCCAAGGACTTAGGGGTGGAGGTGCGGAGCCTGGCYGCCCGCAACCTGCGCCTGGTGAGCGAGGGCGGGCAGCGGCACTTCCAGGTGGACCTGGCGGCGGGTGTGCTGCTCCTGGACAGCAGGCTGGACCGGGAGGCACTGTGTGGGCAGAGCCCCACGTGCTCTCTGCACCTCCAACTCGTCATGGAGAATCCCCTCCAGCTCCACCGTGTTGAGGTGGACGTCCTCGACGTGAACGACAACGCGCCCCAGTTCCCCAAGCCGGAGGTGGTGCTGGAGATCACGGAGGTAGCTAACCCTGGGACTCGGCTGCCCTTGGAGGTAGCAGAAGACCCAGATATGGGCTCCAACTCCATCTCCACCTACGAGCTCAGCCCCAGCAAGCATTTTGCCCTGAGCATCAATGTGAGAGGAGATGGTGTTAAAATGCCTGAGATCGTACTTGAAAAGGCACTGGATAGAGARAAGGTGCCTGTTCATCATTTAACACTGACAGCCCTGGATGGAGGGAATCCAGTGAGATCTGGCACTGCCAAGGTTACCATCCATGTCCTGGATGCAAATGACAACCCTCCTGTCTGTGAACCACCCATATCCAAGGTGCTTCTGGAGGAGAATGTGCCMGTGGGCACTCTGGTCACCAAGCTGAATGTCACCGACCTGGATGAAGGTCCCAACGGGGATGTGGAATATTCTTTCAAAACTAGCAATAATGCACCTGGTAAATTCACCAAGCTGTTCTCCTTAGATGCCCGGACAGGGGAGATCAGAACCAAAGCCCCTCTGGATTATGAGGAATCCAGTGCTTATGAGATTGCGGTGCGAGCCAGGGACAAGGGATCCCCAGCCATGGAAGGYCACTGTCACCTGCGAGTGGAATTAATTGATATCAACGATAACAGCCCAGAGATTGTGCTGACCTCKGTCTCCAGCCCAGTGCAGGAGGATGCAACCCCAGGCACTGTGATTGCCCTCATTGGTGTGAAGGACAGTGATTCCGGTGACAATGGGCAGGTCCGTCTGCAGATAGCGAAAGAGCTCCCGTTTAAACTGGTGTCATCTTTTAAAGAGCATTTCTCGCTGGTCACCAACGGTCCCCTCGATCGGGAGAAGGCCAGTGGATACAACATCACAGTGAGGGCTGTGGATTCAGGGTCYCCCCAGAGGGCCACACAAAAAACCTTTTATCTCCGCATCGCTGACGTGAATGATAACGCACCGAATTTCTCCAGCCCTTTTGATACAGCTCACATTCAGGAAAACTCCCTTCCTGGTACTTCTGTCTTTTCAGTGTCAGCGTCTGATCCTGATGAGGGTAACAATGCCAAGCTGTCTTACTCCATCGTGGATAATGGGATGCAGGATGTGCCCATCTCGACCTACTTCCGAATAGACCAGGACAATGGCACCATCTACACCGTGCGAGCTCTGGATTACGAGCAGGACAAGGTGTTCCAGGTGCCTGTGGAGGTGAAGGATGCTGGGTCTCCTGCGCTGAGTAGCACTGCTGTGGTCCACGTGTTTGTCCTGGACGAGAATGACAATGCTCCCAACATTGTCTACCCGTCTGTCCCCAAGGGCTCTGCGTTCCACCAAGCCATCCCAGCCTTGGCAGAACCCGGCTATCTGGTAACCAAAATYGTAGCAGTTGATGCTGACAGTGGCCATAACGCCTGGCTGTCTTACCAGCTGCAGGAGTCTGCTGAGGCTTTGCCTTTYCAAGTGGAGCGCCGCTCTGGAGAGATAAGGGTTGCACAGGCTCTCAGGGAGTCGGAAGATTCCCACAGGCTGGTGGTCTTAGTGAGGGACAATGGCACACCGTCCCTCTCAGCCTCTGTGGTAATAGTCATTTCTCCGGACGAAAACAGCGTGCAGGACTTCTCCAAGTCCYTGGACCTCCCCCAGTCTTCTCCCGAGGATACCAACCTAACGCTTTACCTCATCATCTCCTTGGTGTCCATCTCCCTCGTGTCCTGYGTGATGTTTGCTCTGGTGGCTGCCCGGTGTCTCAAAGCTGGCAGTGCCAGCTGGACCTTGGCGGGCTGCTGCCGAGGGGCTGGCCGCAAGCCCGCCTCCCATTTCCGAGGGCAGATGAAGCCAGATGGCTTCATCAAGTACCTGGACGTGGGAGGAGCGGGCTTGACCTCCCAGGCACAGAATTACACCTCTTGTTTCTCACCCATGTCTGACCAGAGCGATTTCCTGTTTGTAAAGCCCTTCAGCCATTCTAGCACTGCGGAGACCGTGGCTGCCTATGAGCAGGTGACCAGCACCTTAGCGAGTCCCTGCGATGGGGTAAGAGATGGCTGTTTCTTATTGTCCTCTCTGCTGAGTGCAACAGTTTGAGATATCCARGCCAGTTGGCTGTTCTCTGTCTGTCCTTCCTCCTAAGACGGTGGCCTCAGGGAACATGTGTCACTGTCAGCTCCTGGGARGTGGCAGGTGAAAGTTTTGGCTCGGCTTGGTGGAGGTGGGGGAGGGSGCTGAGCAGCACTGTAAAATCAAAGACTCTGTGTTTGTAGTGGAGAGCTTCTCCTTGGCCCCGTTCGTACTTGTTTCTTCTTAAAGCGATTCTCAGTGTGGTCAGGAACAGTTTTTTTGGGGGTTTAACTCCTTGATTTTGTTTCACTTTTTTTTCCTGAACTGTGGTGCGGAGGAGGTAATCTGAAAGGAAAGTCTGCCTTGTGTTTCTTTTGCTCAGTTTCAGAGGTGCATTGTAGAGATTTCTCATTTCCTAAGCTCCAAGTGTTATTAATTACTGACTGTGCCTCGGCAAGGGATCGTTTTCCAGCTTGATTGTATGAGCAAGGAGCTGAATTCAGTATTGAGCACTAAAATACTGAAATGCCTGTCGTGACATTATTCACAAATATCCTGGTGACCTTATATGCCCTTGGGCTTGCAGAGGCTGAGGAGCAGCAAGCTTTGAAAACTTGAGCTGTTTGTACTCAGGTGTCTAAATATAGATGTAGGTGACTGTGTTTAGCTGGAGCTTTTATAACTTTGGGATATAAAAAGTAAAGCAATTYTGTGTCACAAATGCCTGCCCTAAATTTGAAAATGGTAATTACAACGGGAATTCARAATATGGAAGGGCTATTCAAAATATTGGGAAGGGCTTATCTAGTGCAGTATTGTGTGTCAGMGTGTGCAAAAATGCGTATCTGAAATCTGGAGGGCAAGTCTTTAAACAGCCTCATTTGCATGCAGCATGGGGACCAGTGGGGCATSTATTTTAGGGGAGTAATTTATTCTAATATCTCCTTTCATGAGCATCATCAAAGCTGCAGAGAAATTAGTGAGAGCACATCTACTAAATAAAAATCTAGGTCAGCTCTACTCGTCTTTACTTTTCCTTAGTAATTGCATGTACAAGCAGAATAATCCTATAAACTGGTGTTCCACTATATGGACTATGAACTGCTTATTCCCAAAATAGCTGAGGGAAGTATTGTCCTTTCCAGGTAGTATGTCATACCCCTGGAGTTAATTAAGATGATTATGATTTTCGGAAGTGTGTGTCTTCCAGACAGAAACAGTTGTGCTATTTAGTGCTTTCCACAAAGGCGTGATTCAAACAGGAATATACAAGCTTGCTCCATGTCCTTCCTTATTTACAAAATGTTCATTGTCTGGTGATAAAATAACACGGGCAGAGAGCGATACGGGGGCTTATTAATGAGGTTACAAAGTGTGCTGCTGTGTCTGAAGGTTATTGTGTCTCCTAAACAAATAATGCTTTTTCCTCTTGCTGTCGGAAGTTTATTCTTCTCTCTGTGGACAGAAAAATATTGTAGTGTTCCAAGGCCACAGCAGCTAGAAAAAGTCATTCAAATACAATGCTTGAAAKGAGATCTCAGGCAGGCCTTTTTAAGGACAGAAGAAGGAGAGATTAGGAAGTTCTGTTACCATTTTACCTTAGAGTATTAAAAACATCTTTCTCAGTATCAATTAACTCTGCCACCCCCTCACACCCCCTTCCTCCTCCAAGCTCATTACTGTGGTACCACTGCTCCTGCTGAATTCATGCCCTTATCAGTTTATTTCATGCTTCATTTCTTTCACAGCCTGGTTTCCTGAGCTGCTTTGGAAGATTATTCTCTGAACAGTTTTTGTCATGCTTTTTGGTATTCATGCTGCTTCAGAAATACTCAAGAAAGGGGGAGGGGGAGCCTTCTCTTTGTTCTAATTGATTTGCTTCACTTGGACAGAACATGCTGATATTCCAGACTGAAATAATCCAGGATCAGTTCATTTTCAAAGGCAAGAATGKAGGTATTAAAACTCTTCTTTTTCTTTGCAGCAAGCTCAGCCTAACACAGACTGGCGCTTCTCTCAGACCCAGAGACCTGGAACAAGTGGGTAAGTGCTTCTTTCTTCTTTTATCAGTGGGGCGAAGGTTTCTTTGCTTTGTGTGCCACTTTCAGCGATGGAAAGTCCATGAGTGGCAGCTCTGAGAGCGACTGTCCCTGTCATTGATGGAGGCAGAAATAGGGCTGYTCCTGTGTCAGCTGTGTTTGCTGGGGGTGTGACAGCTGCTGTTGGCAGTGGTGTGTCTGGGTTTGGTGTCTGCAGCTCAGAAACTGGAAGGAACTCCAGRTGAAGTTGTGAGGTGGTTAAAGGACTGGACAATGGGTTTCACAGAGAAAGGCATCTTTGCTAAAGCAGGTGGTGAGCATGTAAACTCATTCCCAAATTGAAAATCCTAAATCCTTTCCCTGCATTGAGGCCTCTGGAAATCACTCCCTTTGTCAGTCATGCAACYTTGAGCTCTGTGCTGCTGAGGTGTGTTCTCAGAACCACAGAATGTGGCTCACAGAACCACAGAGGCTTCCCTGGTCCCACCTCTCTGCTCAGCAGGGACATCCCAGAGCACACAGCACAGGGCTGTGTCCAGACAGTTCTGGAATATCCCCAGTGAGGGAGATTCCACCTCCTCTTTCTGAGGTGTGTGTGAGGTCACAGAAGAAGCCCCAGCAGCAGAGCTGAGCCCTCCCAATCCATACCCTGCTCTTGACTGGGAACTCTCTTGCCTCTGCCCACCAAGGTTTGCTGGAATTGGTCTGCTGTGAGAGACCACTGACAACAAAATGTTCTTTGCCTCTCCCATCTTCCCTGCTGGTTCATAAGCAGGGGCAGGGATCTCCTTCAGAGGGTGAACTCTCTTGAAAGACAGAACTTGAACTGGATTCCACCTTTCTCTGTGCATACCCTAACCAGAGGTTACTCTGTATGAGGAGACTGGCTCCAGGGTGATTTATATGTGAAAATATTATACCTTTTGGGGCATAACTGAGAATTATACCTCAGGTGTATTATAATATATGAAATTTGGATAATGTGCTTCCTCATCTGGCTGGGTCAGGTGCTGTATCTCTGTGCTCTGTCATTCCTGGTGACCACTTTGGCAGCTCCTTTGGAGGTTAAAATGGTGACATGGGAGCACTGGGTGTCAGAGCTTGCAGTCAAACATCTGCAGCAGCTGTTTGTGCCTGAGTCTTTCCCTGGGTCTGGCTCAATAATTCAGCTTATCAGAAAATTAAGAGATTGCTACAGCCAACTTGTTGAAGTGATTAAACTTTGCTATTGGGCTCTTTTAGCTGATAAGGCTAAAATAGAGTGAGGGCTTGATGTAATTAGATAAAGTGTTCATAGCAGAAACTGGCCTTGGACTTAAAAACAAGGCTATAGCTGGAATAGTTCTCTCAGAGGTCTGTTGAATTCCCCATCACTGACAACGTTTTAATCAAGGAAAATCTTTCTAAGCATTTCCGCTCTAGTTCAAATGACAATTAACAAAGCCCTGTTAATGCAGAAGTGCAGCTGCTGTAATTGTTTTGTTGTGAGAAGGCAGTAAATGAGCCCCATCAGAGCAGCTCTACTGCTCCCTCTCCTAGCATCATGCTGGGGCTCTTCAAGGCACTGAGCTGATGCAGTCCAGACCCCTTTAGCTGAGGGACAGGGACCTTTTCTCAGGTCATGGGACAGTGACACTCACCCCAGCTCCCAGCCCCGGCCTGGATCCCTTCACAAGCTCCAGCCCCTTCCCAGTGCCTAAGAGACAGCAGCAACTTGTGGTGTGGGGAGAGATGCAGGAGGAAAGGCAGCCTCAGGCTGTTTGTGGGGAGCTGAACTGCTCGATGTCACTGCTGAGGATCTGTGACCTGGGTGCCCATCATGCTCCCTGAAACAGCTGCTCTTGAATCACAGAATRGTTTGGGGTGGAAGGGACCTTAAAGCTCATTTTTTCCCACCCCGTGCCATRGGCAGGGACACCTTCCCCTGGACCAGGCTGCTCAGAGCCCCATATCAGTGCCTGTTGTGACAGGGGTTCCCATATTGTGGGCTGAACCCTGGATTTGGAAAGAGGCTTTGCCCAAGCACAGGCTGGTGCTGAAATAACTGGAAAAACTCAGTGGATTTTAATTCCTGCTGGTTTTCCCCATTTGCCCCTGTCCACATTTACAACAAAACAGCTCTTGCCGATCCTTTTCCGCCCTGACTCTTCCATCCTGTTTCAAGTTAAAGCAAGTTGGATGTTTTTATTCCAAACCTGTGTGACAGTATGAAAGGATGGAAATAGAAAGTGCTCTCATATGTTCTGTGTCCAGCCCTGACATCTCCCTGGCGATCAAACAGGCAGATCCTGGAAAGCAGCCCACTCCCCATTGTGCTGTTCCCGTGCTCTTCCCAGCGTTTTGATGCCTGGTGTTTGAATTCCCCAGGCACTGCTTGGTAGTACAGATATTAAAGAGGGGGCAAGTGCAGCTGCCTGAGCCCGGCTCGCTGCTCTCTCYCCGATGGTAAATCCTGTACAAATGTGTCTCCTGCTGACAGGTGAGGCTCTGTAGCACCACGAGCTCTCTGAAGTGCAGGGCTCTGCTCGGTGCTTGGGGAGCACAGCCCACCTTTGAGCTGAAAATAAAAAAAAAAAAGGGATGTGCTCTTAACTCTATTTGACCCAAATTAAATGCAATAAAGACACAGCAGTTTGGGCCAGTGGTTTGGATGGATCCTGGCACTGACCCAGTTGGAAACAATCTTAAACCCATGTCAGGATTTCTCCCTTGTCTCCATGGGAGCTGGGGAAGAAACAATCTCGTCTTTTCTCTGCATAGCCCTKCCTATCACAACAGATCCCACTTGTCTCTGGGCACCTGGAGCCAGGCAGAACAGGGGAAGCTCAGTGAGGCAGGGACCAGCTCTTGATCTCGTACATCCCTGCACTACGGGACAACAAAGGGAATCTGCTCTTTGTTCTGAAACACGGAGWGCTCTGCTGCACATGCTCAGGAGATAGGAGCTCAGACAATATGCTCTGAAAATGTGGTAGCGAGGCAGACCTGAACAAAATGATTCAGAATTAATCTTGTTTGGGAGAAATAAGAGGATAGGATTATTAATTTAATGATGTTTGTGTTTTGTTTTTCTTTTAAAAAACCCCACCCATGCTGTCGCTGGGCAAATGTAAATGAATCCGKACTGATTCCGAGCAGCAGATGCTATTCCCAGACAAATCAGATCAGTGGCTGTAGTAGAGATTACAGTGATGAATTGGCCGAAGTGGAGTAAATGAATGGTCAGGCAGCRTTGCAGGATATTCCTGTGGGATCATCAGTGTGGGGTTTGCCTGTGGGAGGAGGCTGGTGGTGTATGGCAGGAGAATGCAGGGACTGGGACTGGCACAAAGGACCCATCTCGTTGTTTTGGTTTGTTTTCTTTGTTGTGCTCTGCATGCTCACAGCACTGCCTGACTCTGGCTGCTCTTTGTTTTGGTGTCTGTGTGATGATTTGTTCAGGAAAACACCGGGCTGAAGTCATGATTTCCTTCCTGGAGGATGGGGAGGGCTTTGTGTTGCTCACAGGTGGACACAGGAGGGTGAGGCAGGCCAGGAAAGAGCCAGTGTGTCCTGGGCATCTGGTGGCAGGAGTGAGGACAGTTTTGGGCTGGGAGGAGATGCCAGGCAGGAAACACCCCAGAGACAGCAGCAGGGGACTTTCAAGGAGGTGGGAAGCAGTGTGAGAATCCATAGCAACTCCAGGGGAGGGAGGAGCGAAGCGTTCAGAGAAGACACCGAGTGCCATTTCACACCCCCCTTCCATTTGTTTTCGCCAATCCTAAATCCCCCTTTGTTAATGCTTCCCAAAGCTGTTGCTAGCCAGGCTTCCCCTCCCAGGCTGAGCACAGCCAATGGTGATGTTCACTTCACTTCACTTGTTTGTCAAACRGCATCACAGCTGCCCTGTGGGACCTCAGCCATCATCCCCCACCCACAGCACCAGGGTTTGGGGCTGACACTGGAGGTGCTTGCAGCAGGGGAGAGCCAGGAAGGAAAAGAGGGATKTTTTCCCAGTCTTTGTTTTGTTTTCACGCAAGAACTCCAAGAGTTGTGCTTGCAGGACTATCAACAGGCTGCCTGTGTGTGCTGGGGGCTGGGGAGGAGAATAAAGATTAGTCCTTTAAGCTCTCAGGGGTGTTCTTGGGGGTCAAAGCATGAAGGTGTTGCTAAAAGGGGAATTGTGATGTTTTTGGGGTACTCAGGAGGTTCTGCATGACAGTGTACCAGGGCACTGACCCCATATGTGTGTGTCTGGAGGGGACATCCCAGAGCAGCTGGGGCCAGAGCACCAGAGAGAGGGAACCACGGACATTCCTGGGCTCACACAGCACGGGGGTGGATACCCAGCAGAAGGACAACTGGCCACAGCTGCAGGCTTTGCCCACATCCTTCCTAAAAATAAATACTTGCAAACCCAGGAGGCACAGGGRTGTCTGTGGGTGTTGTAAACACCCAGGAATTTACACTGCGAGTTTGTGTCTTGTTATAGTGGATCCAGGAGCGAGTGCCACAAAGCACACGCACAGGGCACCAGTGGGGCTGTGCAGATAAACCCTGACGGATTTACCTTCTGTTCATTCATGGAAAACGTGGAAATGGGCATGTGCCAGGCAGGGCTGCTGGACAGGCTGCAGCTTCTCACCGGCAGGAGCAAAAGCAGCAGCAGAGAGAAGTCCTGCTGTGGGAAGTTTAGGAAATAATTACAGTCCTCAGGTTTGTGTCCCAAATGCACCCCAGGGTTAAGCCTACAGTGGTATTTGCTTTGCCAGGTGTGGTTCCACACGTTTTGCAGGTGAATTAGAAAGGTGTAACAGTCTTTAAGCTAAAATTCCAGCTTCTTCTGGCTGGGTTCCATCTGTCTGCCTGTTTGGTATTGAGTCTGTAGTGATTCCTCCACAACTCTYGTAGCATGTGGAGTGTGGAGCTGCTCTCAATTGCCACCTCAAGGCCTGGGGAAGTTGTGAGTGGAGCTCTGCAGCCTGAAAAATCACAGCAGCCTCTGGAAATCTATTTGAGGCCATC